ACCCGCACGCTCCGCCCCCGCCGGCCTCCCCCTCTTCTCAGGTCAGGACGCGCGTGTCCCGCCGGGTCCGACCACTCGGGCCGCGGAGAAGCAGAAATTCGGCGGCACTGGTGGGACCCAGCGCTCGCGTGCGCTGGGGGCGCCTTCCCTAGAGGTCACGGTCCCTGGATGGGTGTTGGACCTGGTCCCACCAGAGGGACGGGGTCCCCCCCACCCCCGGCATGCGTGGGCCCCAGCAGGGACGTGACTGGCACTCGCTGGGCCTCCTGTGGGCCACTCGGGGCGCCAGGTTTTTAAGTCCAACAACCCTGGGCGTTCAAGGGGAGAAACAGGCACAGAGGCCAAGCCGCCCCTGCCCCACGTCACACAGCGGACCTCAGGCGGGGTAGAATGGGGAAGGGGCGAGCAGGTGTCGGGCCGACAGCGAGAGGAGGGCCCTGGAGAAGCAGCGACCTGGACAGGCCGGGCAGGCGGGTGGGCTTCCCTCGCCTCACCACTGACGGACAGCAGAGGGTGGATCCCCCGCACTGGAGCTGGGCTGCCCGACGCCGACCTCAGAACCCGCCAGCTCGGAAGCAGCAGCCCCGAGTTTGCATTCACCACCCGCTCCCCGCTGTCCCCGGCGTGCACAGAGCTACTCGCCCAGGATCTGGCCGTCCCGGCTGAAGCAGTCCCATTGCCGTAGCTCCACTACCGCCGGCGGCGCGCTCTGGAGGCTCCGCACAGGACGCGCCTCCTCCCGGTAGCCCTCTAGATTCCTTCGCCTCGGGTCCTGGACAATGTCAGGGATTGCTGCGGGCCAGAGTTGAAGAACATCCGAGTCCCAGAGCTACCTCGGTCCCTTTAAACTAGAGGCTCGCGCAGTCTTGGGGTTTCCATGACGACGACGAGGGATGGGGGACCCGGGCGGGGTCGGGTCGGAGCGCATGCGTGCTGCGCTCCAGACGCGGAACGTCTTCCCGAGTTGTCGGTGCTGGTTGTCGCCGGGACCCTGAACCGCGGTAAAGACTGGGGTGGGAGTTCGAGGTGGGGGTTCTCGAGACCCAAGGAGATGGGCTGGTGTCGCGGGTTTCGGGGGGTATAACCGGGGTTCGGTGACCCAGGAAGGTGACTGGGACCAGGGTTCGAAGGCACAGAGGTGGGGGGCGGGCCAGGGTCGCAGGCCCGAGGGTGAGGAGGCTGGTACAGAGAGAGGGTCGTGGGCCCACGAAGTGGGGCGGGTAGAGTCGCGGGCTCGGAGACCGGAGCATCGGGGTCCCGGCTCCGCCTTTCGCGGCGCTGGAAGCCAGGCCCGGCCCAACCCGGTGACCACGACCGCGTGACCCAGGCCCGGCGGTTCGGGGGAGGGGGGGAGGGGGTCACGGGGCTAGGTGGCTGAGACCCGCCGCCAGGTGTAGGGCCGGCGCACCGACACTCCTCCCGTTTCTGCAGGGCGGCCCCGGGCTCCCTCCGCTCGGCCATCGCC